TCTCGCACGGCTCCGGGGGGTGAACAAAGGCCTCCTGTAGTGAATCGATGCGTTTTGTAAGAAAAATATCCATATTCAAAACGTAATAATCACTTTAATCTAGCTTGTGCCAACAGTCTACACGGAAGCAGCTCCGGGCGGATGACGTATGAGTTCAGTGTTGTGCATGCGCCGGTGAGTCTCGTGAAAACCAATGTTTGTTAACAGGAGCAAAGGAAGCAAAGTTTCCTTACTTTGGCAAAGGAAAACCAGTCTCCTCTTGGCTTATATCGGAATCCTCTGACATTCTTCTTTACAAATCCTCGTTTTGTACTTCTAATTAGTGACCGTTGTTTTGTTTTGATCTCTCCGCTGCATTTCCGTGTGCATCACTTCTGAGCGGTGCATGCGCAAAGCAGACCTCATATGTCATCCGCCTGGAGCTGCTTCCGTTTACAACAGTGAGCGCAAGCTAGATTAAATTGATTATTACGTTTTGAATATGGATATTTTTCTTACAAAAACGCATCGATTCGCTACAGGAGGCCTTTGTTCACCCCCCGGAGCCGTGCGAGATTTTTTTTTTTTATGGATGGACGCTTTTTATTTAAGTTCTTTTGGACTGATGCATGCAACACCTGCTGTAAAGATCAAAGACCATTTTTATTATAATTCCAACTGGATTCGTCTGAAAGAAGAAAGTCATATACACCTAGGATGGTGAGAAAAATGCAGCCTCAGTTTAATTTTTGGGTGAACTAACCCTTTCAGGCAGGTGTTTACTAATTTCACAAAATCAGTAGCCATGCATCAGCAAATGTTTTTTTGCACTCTTATTTAAAAATACTAGTTAATTCCCAATGGATCTTTTTAGTTTTGTGATATTGTTTACCTAGGATTCACTGAGACAATGAATCATCAGTGTCACAAACTGCTACAAAAACACTGCTCATATTGCTGTTAATGAAAATAAGCTGTAAATATACATACAGCTTATGTGCGTTCCACAATGGTTTGTATGTAAACATGCAAAGTCAATAGAAGGGCATAAGCCCTGCATATATATATTTACTAATCAACTTTCTTCCACCTGTCCAAAATATAAAAGTTCTTTAAAATTGGTCAGACCCTTGGTGCTACCTTCACATATTTATTTGGTGTCAATGAATAATGGGGCTGTTACGAGCTAGTTCTGTACTACGAAATATGAGCAATGTGATGCTCTGGATCAAACACTTACCACTGTCACAAATATGCTACAGATTTCTATTTCACAAACACTACTGAACTATTCCGACACTATAATTCATGCATAAACTAATTATTGCTTCTAAACGTTGAACTTAATACACATCATGGCTTGCATATCTTTGAGTATATTTAAAAAATATAGTTTGCATTCCAGTCATTGAGGTATTTATCTACATTACAATGCTTTGATAATTGCTTTATGCCACATGTTACTTGAAAATCTAAAGTTTCTGCTACTAGGAATAATCTACCCACAGCTCTAGTCTGAGACAACATAACCTGATGGAGATTGCAATATTAGAGGTATGAATACAAACACAGTTCTAGGTTACCCTTTCTAATCAGAACGAGAATACTGTAGTCTTCTTTGTGTCTGACTATTACAGACCAAATAGCATTTCAGGATCTACTGTTTTGTTTCCGTAATAAGGAATTATCTTAAAACAGGTATCAAATGAAACTCTTCACTTCAACACCTATAATATCTTCTAAGCCAGCAAGCCAAATTTCCTGCCCGTTAGGGACTGTCATTTTGATCGGAGTCAACTATTTTGGGCCCAGAACTTAATTTTGCACAGTATAAACTAGGACAAACTCACAGTGCTTATGAAACATACAGTGGGGCAAAAAAGTATTTAGTCAGCCACCAATTGTGCAAGTTCTCCCACTTAAAAAGATGAGAGAGGCCTGTAACTTTCATCATAGAATCTATGATGTAATTTTCATCACCTCAACTATGAGAGACAAAATGAGAAAAAAAAAAATCGATCGAGATGTGGATGCTGCATCCATGGTGGTTATTAACTAAATCATTATCGGCCTAATTTTATTTTCTAAACAACTTTATTATAGCATATACTGAAAGTCACTACGACTAATAAACTCAGCAAGCATCGCTACCGTACATGCATGGCCATGCTTATGCTGGCACTACAAATCCCGCCACCCTAAAGCAAGCGGATGAAACTATACATCATTTAATGGAAGACATTGGTGATTTTGTTGTTTTTGCGAACAACTTGTCACTTGTTTGTACAATATACATATTCATCTCAAAACAAGACAAAGGAAAGAAACAAATATTGCACATTTCCCACACCGAGGCCTCACTACTCTTTCTCCCATGAAAATTCATACTCAGTACAGACTCTTACTTCTACCAATACATTTGATAGAAACTACTGTACAAACAAAACAAAAGTTGGGTACATTTTCTCAACACAGATGAAGTTAAATTCCTATGCTCACAGTGCACTGTAGCTAAGGACCGAGCACAGGCTGTGACCAACTTACCGTAATCTATTTGAGGTGATACATTAAAACATACTAAACTATTAACAACTATTTCAAAACGTTGTGAGTGTGACCAAGGTCTAACATTTAACCATTCTACTGCCTTTCTTCAGGCTTAATGAGGATAATAACCATGAGAATGTTACTGGATGAAAATGGCATGTTTATTTCACTCTACATGTTCTCTTGGAAAACATGTAGGACTCATTAAGACTGGCAGTCAAACCTTTGGAATAATTATTTTTTTTAAAAATTTTTAATGTATTTTATTTGACGTTTTTTATGCTCACTAAGGCTATTATTTGATCAAAAATTCTGTAAAAACAGTAATATTGTAAAATATTACTACAATTTTAGATAACCGTTCTCTATTTTAATATATTTCAAAATGTAATTTATTCCAGTAATGGCAAAGCTCAATTTTCAGCATACATGCTGATTTGGTGCTCAAGAAACATTTCTTATTTTTATCAATGCTGAAAAATTTTTTTGCTTCCTTAATATTTTTATGGAAACTGTGATACTACACCTTGTTTAGTTAATTTAAAAGTTAGGATAAGTACGATTTAAATTAATAATTTTATTCAACAAGAATGCATTAAATTGATCAAAAGTGACAGTAAGGACAATAATGTAAAAAAAAATCTATTTCAAATAAATACTGTTCAGTTAATTTTCTATTACCCAAATCATGTAAAAAAATATATCATGGTCTCCACAAAAATCTTAAGCAGCAAAAACATTTTTACACTGATAACAATAATGAAGGATAATGTGACACCAAGTAATGCCTGCTGAAAATTCAGCTTTGCCATCACAGGAATAAATTTCAGTTTTTTCTTTACATATTCAAATAGAAACCAGTTATTTTAAATTGTAATAATAATTTCCCAATATTACTGTTTTTACTGTATTTTTGATCAAATCAATGCAGCCTTCGTGAGCAGAAGAGACTTCTTTCAAAACTTGATTATTCCAAACTTTTGGCCACCAGTGTCAAACCAGTGAACTTCAAGGTATCTATATGATTTGTGTGATATTCCCAAAACATATTAATAAAATAATGTACAAAAAGTGAAAAGAAACATGCTCACTCCTCTTCCAACTGATTCCCAAACCATTTGACAGACAATGACTCTATTTACATCACTGTGAGAAAAGCATGTGCATATCGGTTGATCGGAGTGTGGGTCTGAGCTGTGGTAACTTCTGAGGTAGTAAAATAATTATAATTCATTATGTCCTGCATCTCATTAGCACCCCACTCTCACTAGAAAGGTTTAACTGTGGAATTTATAAAGCTTATGCTCGGGTCAGTGTGCCACACTGTCTGTCTTGGTTTCTCAAGTACACAGAAAACATGAAAGCATGATTCATGGTTTTGCAAAAGCACCAATATGAGTTCTGAATTAAGAGAACAGCTATCTGTCTACAGTTTGTTGTCTCAGAAATTAAATTTTCAGCCATTTTAAGACTAAATAAATGACCAAGTAGTGCTTTACTTGTAGGTTTAAAGCTAAGCCATGGAAATAGACAAGCAAGAGACAGAAGCTTTTCCAAAGAGATGCATCTAGGCACTTAGTCTGCAGATAATAAAATTGTTGGATGAAGCT